TGTCAAAATAACCAGTGTGAATCAAGATCCAGGATGCTGGTTTGTCGAAAGAAGCAGCAGGAATCAGGAACCAGGCTTTTGTGTTGTCTAAAGAATAAGTGGAAATTAGAATCCAGTGGTTTGTTTTGTCGAAGAAACCACGACAGAAACAAGAGCCAAAACTTGGAACCAGACACATGTCTGCTTATAGGAAATAGGTCAAGCAGTACCTACTGTTCATAGTTGACATCACACTGGAGCGCATTTGACATCACACTGGAGCATGCGCTGACGTCGGCTGTTTATATTTTAATGAAACAAAACACCTTTTGCACTTGATTAGAAAACAGAGCGGTCGAACTCCGGGGAGAAGAAATCTCCCCCCCCCCCCTATCCATGAATCGCTTCCGCGCCGCTGGGTAGGAATAAGCCACTTGCAGGATGGTCATCGGGTCGGTGGAGTGCATGCTTAAATGACATATATGTGGCTCAAGTTGACATGATAATGACATGACATGACAGATAATGAGGTGGCATCGTCCATTCCGTGCAGGGAGTCGATCTTGTCTGGCAAGACAGCCGCCGTGCGACTTCTGTTCGCCCGGCACCACTGATGTCACTTACTTCGCTCTCCCACAGCGCAATTTTCGCACGCCCCCCCCCCCCTCAACGGCCTGCCCCGAACACCTGGCGCGACGGCCGCCGGCGGCCGCCACCTCGGCCGCTCCGGCACGCCGTTGCCGGCGGCTGGGCGGCGGCTCGGCCGTCGCCTCCGGTCGTCACCGGTCGCAATCGGCGGCGCCTGCAGTGCGCCGCGCGCCGCGTCGGCGTCCGTTCCAGCCGGCGGTTAGTACGGCTTTCGAGTCTGATGAGACAGGCAATTTGTGCTGCCTCGAATGAAGTCGACGCCGGGCATGGAGGGCGGCCACACGGGCGGTCGGGCGGTGGGCGGGCAGGGCGGCTCACAGGCGTCAGTGGGCCTTAAGCGAGAGACCGCTCGGCGAATACTGGACGGCCCGGCGCGCCGGACGCATCTGGACGGCTGTCGGCCTGCGCGGGCACGCCGGGCGTCGACCGGACGAGTCTACCGAAGCTCTGAGCGACGCCCGGATCAGTCCGTCTCTGGCGTGGCTGGCTACTGCCTCGCGCACCGCCGGCGTGCGGTACATCATTGCAAGCCATCTTCTGTTTCATGATACGACGCAGTCAGGCTGTAGTAACCGGCTGGCGGGCGCGTTTTCTGGCACGGCTGCATTGCACTCAACGCCATTTTCACTTACTCGTGGGGCGCAGCGGCCCACGCCGAGTCATGCACACCCACTTCGCTCGGCACGCACGCCCGTACCGACACCCGCACTGCATCACTACAATAATTCAACACACGACGCTCGTCGTCTTACTATCCGGGTAAACTTATTGCCAATTACACGCTCCTAACTACCTCATCATATCTCCAGGTTGTCCCTCCGACTTTACGTACTGCTCTCCCTCCGGCGCCCCAGCGGAGCTCCCAGACGGCCGGCGGCATAATCTGGCGAGCAGAGCGCGAAAAACAGGCCCAACTTCCGACACGAATCCCGCCGTAAATTCGCCCGGATGACTGCCGGGATTTCAGCGTGGCCCTGGCGCGAGGCCGCAATCGCAGCCGCCCCAGATAACATGGGTGAGGGGGGGGGGGGGCGCGGCGTGCTGGCTGGTGTCATCGAGTGGCGCCGCCGCCGGCCTACGCCGCCGGAGCAGCACGTGATCGGCGGCATGTGGGCGAATACAGACCGACCGCCGGCACGTGTCTGAACGCTGACCACCGGCCCCGCCCCTGGTGCGCTGGACCAGAGCCGCCGCTTCCGCCGGCCGGCCGCAGTGGGCGGAATCCAGATATCTGAACGGCGGAGATTTACGGCAGCGCCGAGCGCATCTGCCTCTCATTCTGTCTATTTGCCTTGTCGGTATTGACTCAGCACTGCTTCCGTGCTATTAGTGCTGGCAGAAAAATGCGGCTACAATAACACGAATTGTTTTATCTGCGCAGGCTCCCGGGTGCCCTACTGCGGCTGAAGGGGAAGGTTCGATATTGGCCTAGGCTGATTGCTAGACCCAGAGCAGCCAATTTACGCGTGAATTGCCTTACTCTACCACTTCGGGGGATGATATCCAACTGTGTGCTTGCTTTTGTCTCTGGCACAGCTATTACAAGAAACGGGATCTCATTTGCTGTCCCATTTGAGAACGACGTTAGTTTCAAAATGAAGGTTTTGCTGTTTTGTCATCAAACAAGAAGACCTTGCCGATTGTTAGCGCTCTTCGGCACCCTGAATGCTGTTCGCGCTTGTTAAGGCCAGTGTCATTTCAACGAACACACGTGACTGATAACTCGCTGAGGCGATGACTCTCACTCAGCGAAACTGCGGTGAACACGCCCATCACAATATTGCCACCGGGGCGGACTCTTTTCCTCGGCCTTTGACCCCGCGCTGCTGCAGCCGCAGTCCGCGTCCGATGGCGGGCGCACAGCGGTCACCAATTCGCCAGCGGCCAATCAGCGGCCCAGATGCGGCCGCGTCCCGCCACTGCCGCCGCACGGGCGGTGGCGGCCGCCGCTCATTCATTCAGGTCGAACGGGCTCTATTCGATGAGGGGGGAAGTATTGCGATTTGAGGAAATTGGACTGTCAGCATCGCCCCGAATGGCATCCGGCTTTACAATCGGTCCATCCGCATTGGTGGGCCCGAATTCTCCTCTAATCGTGTGACCCATCCAGCCCAGCCGCGCATAAATTTGTCACGCGATCCGTCCCACGGCCCGAGGACCCGCGGCTGCCATGGGCGAGGATGAGGATGGTCGGAGGATGCGGGAGCTCACGATGCCTGCGTCGCGAAGCCGCAATGCGAGGGCTGCAAAGGCCCCTGACACGGTCGGAACGATAACGGAGCGGCTCTCGTTGCAGGGCTGGGTTCGGAGGACGAGGCTGAGGCTGCAAAGGCCCTGACACGGTCGGAACGATTAACGGAGCGTCTCTTGTTGCAGGGCTAGGTTCGGAGGACGAGGAGCGGTTGGTCGCCGACTTATTCTTTGGATACAACAAGCTGATTCGACCCGTTGAAAACATGACCAAACGGTCCAAGTGGGGAATTCGGGCTCGCCTTCATCCAGCTCATCAGCGTGGTAAGTGGCTGACCGGATGCCTGGGCAAGAGGCCAGCTGCTCCTTGTCTTGACAGCTTGCCCTTTAACGATGTGCCAGGGCATTCCTGCCCGCAACAAGTCTGGGTCAAATATCCGCGTAGTTTGACTGAGACAGACAGGTTTGCTTTAGGCACACAGCAACAAAGTGAATGACTGATGCATAGGAGGTTGTCATCGATCAGCGAGTATATTTACACTCGACGCTGATATTGCCTCAGCACCATGCTATCCCCCTGTTTGTGTGGGCCATTGTCATTGGGCTTTGCGAAGCATTCAGCTGCTGAGTGTACATGACGTCGTCTACCTCTCATCCTGGCAGGAAGGGGGGCGGGCGCTGCGGGAATCGAACCCTGTACCCCTGGTTTTGTAGACTCTCAGCTTTACCGCTGTACTAACGGTACCCTTCTTGTGTGCAAATTCATGTTTAAGCCAGGTTCCAGTGGGGTGGGTAAGCCGCATTTCAGCATTGTGTACCATAACTATGATAATGTATATCGCTCTGCGTCTGATAAGAATGGGAGCCCCGGTTGAGCTTTTGATTAGCACTTATTCGCGGCCATAGTATGCAAATTAACTTCCCCATTTCGTATTTTGGCGAGGTCATATTCCATGCGTTAAGACAGTTTTCCCCTATTTCAGAACGAAAAGAATCAGATAATGAAGTCCAACGTCTGGCTTCGACTGGTAAGGC